GTGAAACCTGTGCAGGTCTGGGTGATAGCACACTACCAATAGAAACACTTATCTTCAAAAGTTACATAAAACATAGACAGAGAGCCGATTGACCCTCTGGCATGCCAGGCACATCAGCATCGAATTAACAGAACTGAATTGCTTATGGAAGAGACTGTTTTTCCAGTCTCACCCAGTGGCTCGAGCTAAAAAGTAAGGCAACCTCTTCGTATATTGTACTTTGCCATCTGTTCGTGAGGTTTTTGGGAATTTTTTTGCTAACCAATTATTGCTTGAAATCAGAGTAAAACTCGAATTCCACTAAAGCCGTTTTTGGTGCCAAAACATATTGATGTGCTCTTCAAAACATTTCTGTGTCGTACGGTTTTGCGCCATGTGAACAGCCTTACTATCTTTTCCGTCATAAGTTTAACTAATCCTAGGGGTTTGCCGCCGAAAGGCGATATTTTATGTTAATATTATATATTTTGTGTTGTTTGTTTAAGTTTTATAGTGTGTGTTTTTTATGTCAAATATTTTATTTAGTTTTTATGTAAAATATTATCTGTCTCTTTTATCACCGACTGTAAAACCGGCGACCTTTCCCAAGTCTTGTTTCTCATGATGTTTTTAATTCCTTTTAACACTCCTGACGCCTGATTGCCGAAAGGCGAGAAGGTGTTTCTTGCATCTTATAAAAGTCCCCGTATCTTGCCTGTCTTCTTATTCTTGGTCTTCTACTCGTTCCAACTACGTAACGTCGCCTCGGCCAACAGCCTTCCTTCACCTCACAATCTCGACCACTCCTCGGCTGGCTCCCAACGATTGCATACTCCGTTCCCGTCACGTCCAGTCTTGTTCAACGAATCATCTGTTCCTCCTCCTGCCTTGCCGGGCAACTTGAATTGTTACTATATTTTTACATGTAAATATGCTGTTTATTCGTTTCCGCTTATCTTCCCATCCATAGCAAAACAAAAAGGCGCATTTACGCCACAAACATAGTTGAGGGGTGGCGGTGGGTGGATTTTTTGTAACTTGATTAGTACTAGGAATATGCACATTTTGGTGAATTCGCATCTTCACGAGAATGGCTTGTGCTGTTGTGATTTATTTTGGTAATTTTTCCTGCAAATTCAAAACAAGAATTGCATTGCAAAAGAACATTTTATCTTTTGCTCAGAAAAAAATTGTAAAATTTTGTTTTTTTTTAGAATACTTTGTTTGACACCGAAAATAGTTCGCTGCTCTATGTCACTGAATTGCTTATTTTTGCGATTGCGAACGGACAGGACCAGGAAGCACAGGATTTGATAGATGCCACCTCATCCTTACCTTCTGTTACATTAAGTCACAGGGTATTATTTCCAGTTCAGCTTATGCTTTTTTTGCATTTGATAGAATATCTGCCAAAAAGTAGAAATAGTTCTGAGAAGGAATAAGAACTTTTCAAGTGGGCTTTCGCATAAGAATATAGAAACTTTATTGAGATAAAAAAATTTAGAAATTTTATTGAGATAAATTAAATTTTATTGAAATAAGGAAATTTTCATCTTTTTCGAACAAAGCTTTTCCTTCTACTTTTGAGTTTCTAAAAACTTTTAGTGAAGCGGATGATTAAAAAAAATACTTTTTCGAACGATTTCCCTCTTTCGTTTCATCCCATCCTCCCTGGCTCCTTAGCTCCTTGCTTTTTTGGGATTGCATAGTACCACAATTTTGAAAAATTTGTAAGGAATCGGTCAGATATGGCTTGGTTAAGTGGAAAATTTTTAAAGCGACGTACAAAAATAATTTTTTACAATTTCAGTACAACAATGTCTTCCATGCTTATCGATCTTTATTTCGTTTTGAACGCTGGCGTTTGGCAAAAGAAGGTACTTGCGGCGAAAGTAGCTCACTTGATTTGGCGGAGGAATTTACAGCGGCCATGCTGGTAAATTTTTTAAAACTTTTTCCCTATCTTTTTGTGGAGGCTACTCGACAAAAACTGTCAAAATCTAGGAGTCGTAGCAGCCCTCTCAATCCATATAATTTGCAAAATAGGGTTTTTTTCACGCTATCAAAAAAATTCTCTATAGAAAAGGGGGAATTTTTATTCGTCAGTTAGTGAAATGTTGTCGCTAAATAGCAGATATTCATTTGCCCTACAAAAAAAAAAAAAAAAAAAAAAAAAA